ATGTCGGTCCGGAGCTTAGCCAGTGCAAGACTGCATATGACAGCCTTGTGAGGCTCTGGTGCACGGTGGCCCCAATGGTCGTCACGGTTGAATCCGCTGTAAAAGCAGTTAGCTATATTCAACGTACAGTGTCCCAAGATGCCTCGATGAACTTACCCTGCGGTCAACATCTCAATCAAGTGTTGTTCCGTGGAACCAACCTCATCACTCTTCTTCAGACCAGAAAAGATCCCGTCTTGTTTGAGGAGAGTTTGTGCAGCAGCTCGCTTAACTTCAATCATTTCCGTGTGGTCGATGTCGGCCCGTGGAGGAATAACGTAAAAGTCGAGGTCTTCGCGCAGCACAATGATTCCAGCACGGTCCTGAAGCGCATCTCTGGCAGATCCTAGCATAGAGTCGGACGACACATCCGCATCTGGCGACGTGGATTCAGAAGGCGAGGAGGACGGAATCGATTGGGCGACAGAACGGAAAAAGTCCAACATGTATTGTAGGGAAGCCGGGTCATACTAGAAAAGAAAAGCGATATCAGTAAACCGGTCACACTGCAGGACCAAGATATATGCCACTTACGTCGACTGGGTAGATGTCGCCTTCGTGGAACGTGCCCATGTGTCCATCGGGGAGAAGACCATTTGGAAAGAGCGACAGAAGAACAAATTCCGGCAAAGTCAACAGCTCATCGCGAGAGAGGGTGAATCTCGTTCCCCTGGATCATATGTTAGAATCACCCATAAAAACAATCCCAAAGCGCTATCCTTACCTGAGCTCAAGCGTGATATTCTCATTTGCACCAATATCTGTAAACAGAGCCAGTTAGCACATCCATCGATCCCTTCACTAAAGAATTCCTCCATTGAGATTTCGCGTCTTTATATCATCGCAACACGAATTCTCAGGAGATTGTTTCATATTCATACCTCCGAGAGTATTAATCGGCGGTCCTCCAGCCTGCTGGACTTGAGTAATAATACTCGACGCGCCTCCGGCCGCAGCCATCACGTAGGTAAACGATTCAAGGGGACTGTATCCTTCTGTATAAGGCGGAGGTGGCTCGTCGTCCGCGGAAGATTTTCCGGACGCTTCTCCTTTCGGCTCCTGAGAAAACGACGCTTTGGTATCCGCGACAATAGACGAGGAGGGTTCCGACTCGCACGATTCTTCGACAAACGGCGAAGGAGGAGGTGGTGGAGAGAGGGGAGGGGGAGGAGAAGCAGGATAAAGAGAAGTATTCGATGGTGATAAAGCCGACTCGGGTTGGGTAACAGCAACCTTGGAGCGGTTGGGATCGGGGACCGAGGAGGAATCGAAAACGAGCGAAGAGAAAGGCGGCGGGTTGGACGAGAAGGAGAAAGAGCTAGACGAGGATGCTTCCGAGCACGGAGAATGAGGCGGAGGAGCAGTATAGAAATCGTCGTCGTCCTCTGCTTCCTCCACTAGGGAGTGCGTGAGATGAGGCGGCCGCGCCGTGGTAGGCGAGCCAGGAGAACTTGGTTGCCACGACAAGGTGGTGGAGGTCGACCGCACAATTGAAGGCGATGGGCTCTTGAGGTGTGAGAATGGAAGAGGAAGAAGGTGATTATGGTAGCTAAGTTATGAGGAATGGGATGAAGAGATCCGATTGAGAGTTGGTTCCCGGTTGATCTGAGGGTGATCGACCCAGAACTGCCCCCCGGTTTTGGCGGTCCAGAAGCACACGAGCCGTCAACTAGCTTTTTTTTTGCCGGGACTCGAACATGGATGCAGGAAATGAGTTCAAAGTGACACAATGGAGCGTTTTCACGAGGATTAATGGTCGGAATTCAGATGCACCACGGAGACAGATGGTGGGAGGAGAGAAGGTGGGAAGCGCCTAAAGATGAGGGGGGGAGGTGAAGATACAAATGAACTCGGCGGCAATACAGCCAAGTACAATCACCATTACAGGAATACTTTTCACTATATTTTCTGGTATTCTACCCCAGGGGTACAGAGTACAATATTAGACAATAAATACATAGAGATGCCTTGATTATGTCCTGACAAAAATCAATACAGGTCACATGACTCAGTATCGCATGGTTGTTTTGTACGACTGAATAATTTGATACCGAGTTTACAAGCAGGAATCCCTACAAAGAGGCTCTGTAGTGATATCGAAAATGCATCGTACTATGCACACTGCGTATATTCGTGGTATATTTTGATATGACCTAATGCATGCGTATCATAAAAACCCCTTGAGGTGATGCCAAAGAAATGGCTAACCGACTAAACGTCGCGCTCCACGTAGCTCTGGATCATGCCCTCGAGCGTAGGTTCATACTCCTTCAGAGTAACTTCCTCACCGTTCAAAACTGTGTTACCCTGGACGAAGACCTTGCGGGGCACCTTGTTCTTAAGAACAACGTCGCGAACCTTGGTTCCCCACCATTCATTCACGGAGGTGATATCGTCGTACAGATTCTTACCTGCTTCGACGTCGGCCGTACTCTTGTAGACATGCAGCTTCTGCAGGTACTTCTCCACAGCGGGACGGCCATGGGTTAGGATCTTGGACCGGTCCAGGTGAATTTCGAGATCGGACAAGTCTTCCTTGTTGTACACGAGCTTCACAAAGTCGTCTCCTGCGTCAAGGAAGGTCCGCAGAATACTGTAGCGAGCCTGCATGTGAGCCTGTCCCCACTTGTGCGTCTTGGGGTCCCAGAACTCCAAGGCAACCAGACCAGCACGTGCCATCTGTAGATAGGCCGCGAACAACACATCGCCGGCCTCGTTGGAAAGATCTTCTTTGCCATCGCCAAAACCAAAGATCTTGAGAATGCCAAAGTCGCAACCAAGAGCCATAGCAACGCACTCCGCGCGGCATTCTTCGTAAGAGGAAGCAATGGCACCAAACACGGAGCTCCATGTCTGACCTGGCTTGTACCAAGTTGAGATGGGCTTGCCGTCGACAGGGCTCACAGGCGGGTTCGAGATGTCGAAGTTATACTCGCCTGGAGCGGTCTCCTGCAGCAGCTTGCCGGTTCCGTGTCCGAGAAGCTCGTGAATACCCACCTGCACCTCGAAGGCTGGGTCCCGGCATCTGCGGTACACGTCCAGATCCTTTTCGGAAATGAACGGAACGGGCTCATTCGGAGCCTTGGCACTCAGAACATTACCAAGGGAGACGTTCTTGAATCCCAGGTTCTGGCGAATGTCGTCGTAGTTAGGCAAGTTAATACCGGCTGGGATGCCGGACGACTGGAAGCTCAAGACCTCAAGAGATGTGAAGTCAGGGCTAAGGAACGTGTCCTTTTCAAAATCATCACCCCAAGGAAGCTTGGGAATCATGGCTTCGGCGTTATCTACGAGCTTTCCAAAAGCCCGGGTGCGTTCCAGGTTGACCTGCAATAGTCAGCATATGGCTATCCAAACACAAAAAGGACAGGAAATGATCATACCAGAGCGATGAATCCTTCCCATTCACCTCTGACACCGTGGGGATCTCTGTAAGTCTCGACAAATCCGATGTTCGTTTCCAGCGCTGGCTTCTGGTCCTTGACCCATATCCGCTGGGATTCCTTGAATGCCTCGATGGAGCCAGCACCGAACGACAAGGCATAAGCGTCGAGCATCTTCTTCTGGTTATCATTTGCAGCATGCAAGCTCGCTTGTTTGATGGAGTGGGCGATCTTGGCCATTTCCTCCTTGTGGTCTCCAAAGACAAGACTGAGCTTCTTCCCCTTCAGCTTCCCATCGAGATCAAACGTCTCGATCTCTCCGAGGTCCCGGTCCCGCGACGGAGGCGACGAGACGCCAGATGCAATCAAGAGCTCGAAATCCCCGGAGGCGGTCTTCTTGAGTCTTGTGTTCTCCAACGGCAATCCCTTCTGTTCCATGAGGTCACCAATGGCTGTAATCTCATCCTGGCTGATGTTGGGCGACTCGGGGTAGTAGGTGGTCATGTGGCCAGCACCAGGGTAGCCGAGGTGCATAAGGGATTGTTCCGTCTCATAGATCCCACCCCCCTTCTTGCTAGCCTTCTCGAATGCTGCCTTGCTTTCCGGGGTAGCTGAGGCCAGAGCCTCCAAGGCAGAAGGTGGCAGTCGTGGAATGAACTTGGAATCACCGAAGCCCTTGTAGTTACCGCAGTTACCAAGGAATTGAACGGAATATTCCAAGAAGAAGCGAAGGTGTTCCGAGCTGACATTTGTCTTCTTGGCAAGGCTGGCCCAGTCCCCATTGCAGGCACGGTGAAGGGAGATGATGAGGTCGTAGACCGGTTCGGATTCGGGAGAGACTTGACGGAGGGTAATTCGGATTCCTTCGAAAGCAGCCCTAAAATTGCATCGCAAAGCCAATGTCAGCGATACTCACAAATGACAAGAAGAACAAAGACGAACCTGCTAATGTAATGGGCGTATTTCCTCAACTTGGGATCCTGGAGCTTGTCAAAGTGCTGCTTGACCTCCAGCCTGACCACCGTAGGCGGCGAGTCTGCCAGATAGTGCTGCTTGATGCTCTCATCCATCACGGTTACTGAGGTGCGGAGTGAAGCTTGTGTTGAGAAATTGGAGCGTGAGGGGAGAACAGAGGACAGAGCCGAAGTACGAGGGAACGGAAGAGGATGGTGATGCGGCGAGTGATGACGATTGAGGGGCAGGAAGGATACGGAGGGGCGGTGGAGGAAACGATGTTCCGACGGCCAACAACGCGTCGCCAGGCCTCGAGAAAGGCGCATATGAGCTGATGGTGACAACAACTGCTGCAACAAGTTAAACAGCAGCTCTTTTTTGTCTGGTTGGAGGCCGAGGCTAATCCAAGTTATGACTCTGCTTATGTGATTTATGTTCCGCAGGCCGAATTGTGGAGATTGCTCCACAGCAGTCATGGTGGAAAGGTAAGCAATTACATATGTGAATTATCATGTATAACGCTTTTGGTATACTATCCAAACCCCAATCTATGTATATACAAGCAAATGCAGCAATGAGTTAAAAGCAGGGGTATTCAAACAAGATAACAAAGAAGGAAGCAGATCATATTAAGCTCTCATACTTGTCCAGACCTTGTTTCTGCGTGTTAGCTGGCTGGAGGGTATTGGCATTCGACAACCCATTCTGCATCACGTTGGCACCCAAGGACGGGGGCTTTGTGGCATTGGAGATTCCGCCAAATGCGGATGGCTGTGGTGACATGGAACCCGATGCAGGAGGCGGAGGGATGGAGAATGCGGGATGGTTAGATTGCTTGGGTTGACCAAATGAGGTAGGAGTGGTAGCAGTAGAAGATGCCGACTTCACGCTGGCAAGAGCTGCCAGTGATGGGCCAGCTGTATTCCCCTGGACATTGCGTTGACTCGTTGAAGAGCTCCACGAGCCTGACGGCGATGGCTGCAAAGCTGGAAACCCCTGTGTCATGGGAGACACTTGTCGCGGGGCAGGTTCGAGTGATGGGAATGAACTTATATTATAGTCAGGAGTAACAGAGCGGAAATTGGGGTTAGATTGTGCGGATGGAGTGCTTCCCCTGCTAACCGGCGCAGGCGCATTTGATGTCGACCAAGAAAAGGCGGGCGATGCTGCGGGGGCCGAAGTCTGAGGCGTTGGCCCGGAGTCCATGGTGTCCCAGGCGTCGATTTCTGCATCTGATGGCGTAGCGCCTTTTCCAAGGACGAGGCGCTCAAAGTTGACATTCATGTCGCCTTGATCAAGAGTGGCTACTACGGAAGGACTCTTGGTGCCATTTCTGAAACCGCTGGTGTCTCCTGACGACAGCTCTTGCAATTTCTTCTTCTGCTCACGCTCAATCTTCGCAGAAATGTTTTTAATCTGCGTCATAAACTGTTCAAACTGGCGAATATCAAGCAGTGGTCCCAGCGAAAAGTTCCAGAGAATGGGGAGGACTTCCAAGGCAAGGAAATCCGTGTCAGCAACGATGCCAACCTGCCTAAACACGTTCAACGCAGCCATCATCACAGCGGGCTCTTTGGTTTTGATGGCCTTCAGTGATGGAACAAGCTTTTCTTGTATGGTGTATTTGTCAAGGATTGAGGACTTGACGGACTTAGATTGCTTGGTCGGAGCAACACCTGAAAGGTCATCTTCGAGCTCTGGTTCTGCATCGACAGAGCCTCCACAAAGCACAGCGAACGCATCCAAGCAGCGAACTTTGATGGCAAGACTGCTTGTCCGGCTGAACGTCGTGGCAATCGGAGGGAAAACTTCGTTCTTTACAGTACTAAAATCAAGAACCGGGAGCACGACGGGCAAGCATTTGATTGCAATGTCTGCCAAAGAATGAGTAGGCGAGTCCATACCGAGCCGGATCAAAGGCAGTATGTCTGGGAGATAGAGCGTTAGTTGCACAGTTCGTAACTAAAGGCAAAAAGGGAGACCAACCATCCTTGAACTCCATGCCAGAGCAATTCTCGGAGATCACTTTCATGTTCTCTAGCACAACCATAAGTCCCGCATCTCGTTTCGAATCACGCTCCTGGCCTTTGCCAGACCCTGTTGGAAAGATTTCTTTTAAACGTGGAATCACTCTTTCAGGGAATATACGACGCGCACTCGGAATCCGCTGCAAGATCCCAAAGACGTTCTGTAGGATCAGTTGTAGAAGGTCGCGATCTTTCAGTTCCTCCAGTAAAGCACCCAAGATCTTCCTCTCCAAAACCGACACCGGAAATTCAGGCAGCACCCGTTGTAGTCCACGCATGAATTGGGATTTTTCATTTGGGTTCTTGGCTGGCAGCGACTCCAAGAAGCGAATCGTTGATACCAGAATGTTGTCAAAATACTGAGATTGCTGGAACTCCCGTGCGTTTAAACGCTGGGCTGGCCTTCTTGTGATCAACCTGGGAAGAAGATGGGAAACGAGATCCTTTGGGACCACTCCGGAAGCCAGGAAGTTGTTCGATTGCGAGGGGGTTGATGATGGCGAGCTGAGAAGCTTTTTATAAGTAGATAAGTTTGAATGCGACTCGATTGGAGAAACATGGGGAGAGCTATAGATAGCAACAATGATCAACCCCAGAGAAAATAGATCCGCGGCGGAAGAAACGTTAGAATCCATAGCAAAGTCAGGGGAGGTGTAATCCAGATTGAGCTGGACCGACGCAGGCAGACGAGGGTCGTGATATAGGACCTCGGAAAGCGCCAATGGTGGAAGAGAAGAGCGAGCCTCTGTCGAATCAGGAGGGCCAGCGAAGCCCAGACCAGCGATCTTCCAGTCAGACTTCGCGTTGATGAAGATTGCTTCGGGATTCAGATTTCCATGAACCAAGCCCGCCGATTCGTGCAGAAACTCAAGACCCTTAGCCACTTGCAAAAGGCCCTTTTGAACTTCAAGTTCGTCGATTTCAAGCTCTCTCCGTCCCCGGCTTCCGTCCGGTCTCTCGGACGTGTAACGGCTGGTGCGGGAACCCACCCTTTCTTGCTCATCCTTCTGCCGTAATAACCCACCAAGAGACGCCGTGACATGCTCAGTAGCAAACATTAGACCACCATTGCGCGTCTCCTCTACCGGCTCAAGAACCTGTAGAACGGACGGATGCCTAAGACGTGCGAGACTGCTAGCTTCTCGCTTTAGTCGCTCGATAGCCTCCTCCTGCAGCTTCTTGGTGGAGGAACTGGACGATTTCCCAAATGCACCAGCTCGGGGTTCAAGAAACTTCTTGTCGAAAATGAACACAGAAGCTGTTGTACCTGTTGACTTTTTCTTTCCATCATGGACTCTCCATGGACCTGAGATCACAACCGGATGCGGAGAGATCTGGTAGTTGGAGGATATGTTGGATTTGAAGGATGAAAACATTTCCACTTGGTTCTTTCAACAGATAACTTCCGGGTCCCTCCGAAAGTGTTGCTAGACGTGTCGAGAATAACCATGCATCCAACACCAGGAATATGTATGCTGCGCCAACGGCCGTGGGAACAATAGGTATGCAAAGACAACGAAAGAAAAAAGAGAGAAGATTAAAAATTTACATAAATAACCGAAAGAAATAAAAGACGAAAGATATAACAGAAATTAAAGCAAAATCGTCAAAATCCACCGAGTGTTCATTAATCTCTCCATAATCGACGCTGAGTCGCGCAATGATGTCCGCTGGCAGGACCGTCACGTGAAAGGGGTAATGTATCGACCAATCAGCAGCTGTGCGATAAGATACCCCTTCTGGAAGCTCTATCAGTCACGTGTAATTGACCTATTCCTTTTTGGATAGCCGTATTAACCTAATTCCGCCTTTACCCGTTGCCAGACTCCGACGTCGGCGATCGGCCCGAGAGGTCTTACTCTCCGGGGAAATATTCCACTCAATACATAGGCCTTTGTCAGCACCGCGGAGTCATACCAGACGGTGGAAAACGAATTGTACTTTTTTTGATCCTCTCGTCAATCACTACGAAAAGGTAATTGAGTTCCCTCGACAAATTGAGAGTTACAGTTGCTCACGTCCGTCTAGATTGCAACCATGAAGTCCCTTCATCGCTTGGCCTGTCGCAAGGCCTTGAACGGTTTCCCCGTGTCTCGTGCTCTTCCCCTCCAGACTCCTGCGACTACTCGGCTATGGCAAAGATCATACAGCGCTGCTGCTTCTCAACTGGCTTCCCTTGATACCTCGAAGCTCTCTGTGACCAAGACTAGCACCCCCAAGGAAATCACCTCTCCGAAGGATTTAGTGTTCGGAAAGACCTTCACTGGTACGTGGGACCGCTCAAGGGAAACAATTGCACACCGGAGTGGGTTGTTTGTATACTGATGCATAATGGCTTCTAGATCATATGCTTTCCATTGAATGGAACGCTGAATCGGGTTGGGATACGCCCCGTATCGTTCCGTACCAGAACCTCAGCCTCGACCCATCGGCCTGCGTCCTCCACTATGCGTTCGAATGCTTCGAAGGAATGAAGGCCTACAAGGACAGCAATGGTCAAATTCGGCTGTTCCGTCCGAACAAGAACATGGAACGTTTGAACAAGTCCTCGTCGCGGATTGCTTTGCCGACTGTTGATGGTGAAGCTCTCACCAAGTTGATTGGGGAATTTGTGAAATTAGACAGCCGCTTTATTCCCAAGTTCGTTAAACCCCTTGCGCATTGTTTTGAGAGACTGGCTGACTGGTCTACAGCTCCCGCGGATATTCGTTGTACCTCCGTCCCACGATGATCGGCACGCAGAACACTCTCGGTGTTGGGCCCCCGGGCTCTGCCCTTCTGTTTGTGATCGCTAGTCCCGTTGGACCTTACTACGCCACGGGCTTCAAGGCCATCTCTCTGGAGGCAACCGACTATGCAGTGCGCGCATGGCCCGGTGGTGTTGGTGACAAGAAGCTGGGGGCCAACTATGCGCCGTGTGTGGTGCCGCAACTGAACGCGGCGTCACGCGGATTCCAGCAGAACCTGTGGCTTTTCGGCGAGGAGGAGTACGTGACCGAAGTGGGAACCATGAACCTTTTCATGGTCTTGAAGGACAAGGAGACGGGCCAGAAGGAGCTGGTGACGGCACCTCTGGATGGAACGATTCTCGAAGGAGTTACCCGCGACTCTGTTCTGGGTCTGGCGCGTGAGCGTTTGACTCCTAAGGGGTGGAAGGTGTCTGAGCGCAAGATTAAGATGTCCGAGCTTGCGGAGGCATCGTCCGAGGGAAGGTTATTGGAAGTGTTTGGATCGGGAACGGCAGCGATCGTTAGCCCAGTGCGGTCAATCAGCTACCGGGGCCAGTTGGTGGACTGTGGGTTGAAGGTGGGGGAGGAGGCTGGAGAGATTGCGCTCAACATGAAGAACTGGATCGAAGGAATCCAGTATGGCGATGAGGCGCATCCCTGGAGGTAAGTTCTATTCTTTTTTTTTTTTTTTTTTTTTTTTTTTTTTTTTTTTTTTTTTTTTTGAGATCGTTTCAGATTGATGAGTAGATGCTGACACTTTGACCAGTTACGTTCTATAGACTTGCCCTATCTGTTGGCTCCGGCGGGCTTAGTATGACGGAGAGAACACAACTGGTTGTCATCTTTCGTTTCCTTTTTCTAATGCATATTTTTGGAATACCTGTTCCTTACGATCTAGCGTGAGCACTGAATTCAGAGATGTCGGTTGTAGAGCCGTCGTCAGCATATCAGCATGCATCTTTTTCCACAATCACCATTCTTGAAACAGCCCAGGGACTCCCCAGGATCCAACACCGCCATGTGGCCCAGTCACCCTTTGCAGGGTGCAGTTGTCACCGGGAAGACGCACCAAGCCTGACCCAACCACGGAGCAAGGGAAGCACAGACATACGCCAGATTCACAATGCCCCGACGCAAAGGATGCATGTCGTACATGAGTACCGTGCACATAGCCTCCGATGATCCGACGCGGCGGTCGCTGTTGTAGACAGGAAGATCTAGTGTCTCCTCCATCAACCCAGACGGGACGTGTAACTTGTGCTTTGCCATACTGCTGCATGCGGCAATGCGGAGCGAGTGCGGAGTGCGGACAATTTGAGTACTCTGGTCAAGTGATGGGGATTCCATCCAGAGAACTGAGTATACCTGGCACACAAGGCTGTTCGGGATGTCTTAATTCTCAGGCTGTGCTGGTGTTTTCTTTTTTCTCGTTTTTTGGGGCCAAAAATAAGAGAACACAGGGATGACGGACTTATGATCGACAAACCAGGGCATCAAGGAATATTCATAGTAGCATCTCAGCATCTTATCTTTTACATTCTTCTACAATATGCAAGTGTAAGGCCTAATCTCTGGGGAGTATAGCAGCATAGCAGTATGATTGACACAGAATAAGATGCCAAGATAGCCCGAGGCTGGGGTTAATGAGGCTCTCCGGGTCTAAGCCTCTTTTGTTGGTTACCCTGTCACAGTCACGGTCTGTCTGTCAAGTACCAGAATACATTCAATTCACATTCTGTTGCGCATAAGGCTCCGAAGCGGCTCTGCGCCGGAATGCTAATTGGCTGCTAAATAAGGAAGCTGCACGAATTGACTCGAGATGAGTGCCCGTTGGATGTTTCGATATGTTTCTGGATAAGCACTGCTAGAATGCTGATGCGTCCGGGTGAAGATCTGTTACCCATCTGGGGTAAGAACTGAATGTCGCAGGATCGATATACAGTAGCGCTTCCCGTACTTTCCGTACTCCCGTATACAAGTGGGCATTAGTACATTCTTGTCGACCCATCCCTGCTACGGGAGTACTATGTACTTCGTATATCCTCCGCATCCACGGGAACATATCGTGACAAAACCAAGAAACCAACAAAAAAATACTGCACACAGGTCGAATGCCAATTTTGTTTGCCATTTCTGTTGCACTTTTGTCTCTGGGCATCGAGTGACGAGGAAGTCATGGGACTTGATTCTACTGGTAGCAAGACCAGGGCAAACAAACACCATACCAGATCGGGGCTAGTGGTCTTGGAGGGTAACTGGCCAATGATGACCCCGCAAATGGTGCTTCAGCCCTATGTGACGCCATTCGGGGTTAAGAGCGGACTTATACGTCCGACGATCACCGATTTTATACGAGGTCCATACAGGGGTACTACTGGTCCTTACGAGTAATACAGGGTGAAAATGCAAGTATGTATGTATGTACTGATAAGAGGTAGGACAGCCGAGTGTCTTGGACCGATTAGGAATGACGTCGGCCCAATCTTGTGTACGTATATATGTCTGGCTATTGGAATATTTGCTATTGTTAGTGTACAATAACTACTCTTGTATATGTATGTACGGGTATGGATTTGAAATCAATTGTGATATACAAGTATGGATGTACCGGAAAATCTGGACGTCTGGACGCCCGTGTAACCCTCCATCAAGCAGGGTAAAATAAGAAAATAATAATTTGTAAAAATACAATAATACGGTTCTTTTCAATACCGTCTCTGATTTCCCTTTTGGAGCCACATGGCTATGGCAGGAGGGCGAAGGGCAGCACTGCCTTGTCTAGAATAACCAAGACTAAATAGACTCATAGCGAGAGAGCCGCTACATAAATACGCGGCTTTCGGTCGTCTCGGAGTGGTTCATCATTGATCTCCATCGTTAATCTTCAGCTTCATCTTCATACCTAGTCAGGTGACTATCTACAACTATATCTATATCTATCGATCCCCATCTCTTGCTAGTATCAGTTCCCCTCACTCACTCAGTCATTCACACTTGGATGCCCATAATGAATCGATCTTCCAACTACTACTCCTCTCGTCGCTCCTCTAACAACGGCACTAGCAGTGCCTTCAGTCCTAACGCCAACCCCAACGAAGACTGGACCAAAATCTCGGACCTGGCAGAGCGTCGTCGCATCCAGAATCGCATTGCTCAGCGGAACTACCGTGGGTTCTCTCTAGCAGTCACCACAGCAGCAGCTTTGTATCTAACTACATACAGGCAAGAAGTTAAAGCGCCGTCTCGAGGACTTGGAGAAGCGAGCCGCATCGTCTTCAGCCTCCCCAGAACAGTCTCACGCTGAGCCAGCTCTGCCAAAGTCAGGCAGGTCTCGTACTGTCCGAAACCGCTCCAAGTCGAGCATCAGCAACATCAACAACAACATCGACAACAACCATCTCAAAATTAGCAGTAACGGCAGCAACAGGGGCAGTAGTCCCCTCATTCCCACAGTGACGAGGACCCTGTATGGCGATGGCTCCTATTCAGACGATCAGCGTGGAGGCATGTTTTCGCTTCAGTGCACTCGCCAGCTCTCTGCTTCGCCCCCGCCAGTCTTCTCCTACAGCTCGTATTCGCATTTGAATCCGTATGGATCCCCGGCATACGGCCAGTCTCCACCTCTCTACCATGCCCCGGCGTTTCAT